ACTAAGAGCTGATCTCCACTTCTGTCATCAGTTAGGCGTGCCTTATCTTTTTTCAGGATGCACCTGCCACTGTGATCACTGTATCTTATAGTTCCCTGCTTCCTTCCTAAGAAGTGGTAATGAGCAAGGGATGGCATGTCAGCAATGAAAAGTTACGCTTCAATTCATCTTTGGAAAACATGAGTTCGTTAAACAGTTCCTAGCAGGGTCAGCGGCAAACACATCATGCGGTTGCAGAAAGTAAAAGAGCTGTCGCAAACAATGAATCAACCCTTTGTCGACGAGTAAACACAACCTAACACCAATACAATATATTGAACACAGCTCAATCCGTAAGCTGCCTGCGGCCCGGCTACTCGACAATAGGAGCCAAAATGATAAAGAGCAGAAAAGTCACTGTCTACGTCTGTTTCAAGCTGAGCAGTGCTTCAACTACTTGATAAAGCGAGGTAAGATCTGAATGAAATGTCTTCTTTCTAACACACCATAAGCATCATCGACGAAGTCGTCATCAGCAGGACCAGAGCGACAGTGTTAGAGAGTATATAGAATCTGAACCTTCAAACCCACTTGCTGCTAAACAACAGTTCATAAGAAAGAAATCTCGTAGCAGTATCTGAATTAGTCACTGTTATTAAGGTCCGATTCAAATTTTTTAATATCTCTACACACGAAAATGTCAATTTTAGACGATGCCGAACATAGTAAGTAAAGTCAAATTTAGCATTAATCGAAACACTACACCGACAGCTACTATAACTGGGCATAAAGGTGATGTCGGTCTCTTACGTAATCGGCGTTTAACGGCACTCTTTCTGTCTAACTTTTGCAACGGTATGCACTTTTCAGTTTGAAAAGCAAAGGGGACTTTATGAAGGCAATATTTACAAGTAAGCAACTACTACTAGGTGAAGTCTTTCTCTTTCCCACGATAGAATCTTGGTCTGTCGACCTCCAAAGGATGAAAAACAAGTAGCATATGAGTTAATGCACCACTTGCGTCTTACTACCGAATGCACGGCTCTCAACCGACTGTGCTACAATGAGCTACTATTCACCTTCCTCTTCAAAATCGTGCAAAGAAGGCATGAATTGAAAAATATGGCGAAATGGATGGAAAAGTGTTCGACTATCACTAGTGAAGGAGGTGAACATACCTATAACATGTGCGGTACTCGTTGAAAATCCAGTTCAGTGCAGTTGACTTCGTTGCAAATTGCTCTTGAAAAAGCGCATGAAAAACAAGAGAAAATGTGAGTGTACAAAAAACTACTGGAACACTTAGTGATAATACCCAAAACTACACGAGGTATGAACAAGTAATTACATGAGGTATGAACAGGTATGACCTGTCGTAGAATCGACATAAACTCACGTTCGGAATGCAAAAGCACCTACGATAAAGGGTAGAACCGATCAATTGTAATTTTCCGTGCGACAGACAACAGGTCTCAAATGGTACCTGGCTGACGGCAGCTTAGACGGATACGCAGTTAATACCTGTACACAGGTAGTTTTTCCTCTGTTTGTTGAGGCTGATGATTCTACCATTTTTCTAGTGGTAATATCCACCTCTTCCTTTAGGTCTAGATGACCGAGCAAAGCGGGTATTTTGCTAACTCTCCGTAAGATTAATCACTCTTCATGGGCCAAGTCAGGAAAGCAGACTTGTGCTGTGCATTTTATCAGAGGCCGTACGCATGCCTTCGTGAAAGAACGCATTACCATTTAAGGTATCTAAATTTATCTCTCGACCACCATAGAAAAATGCTGCAGGTTTATTTCTGAACTACGGTTGCAACGTGCTTCTCTCACTGCAAACTGTCCTTCAGGAAAATTCCGATGTGTCTGGTCTCCTGCATAACATCTCGCCATAAACATTTACTTTATTTTGACCTAAGTTTAAAACCACCTTGTTTTTAAAGCAGGCAAAACATCACATGTTTTGATTTACATGGATTCGGCTAAACTTTGGCGGCATTGGCCCAACTGCAATCATTCTGGATGCTATCGCTTAACCGAGTTATGTCTTCACAGTTTGGGACGGTGTCAGTACAGATTGCCATTGGCGTTTTGTATACAAGTGGCTCCACTTAGCTTCGGCAGTTGCTGAAATGCAACGCCTTTGTCCGAAAATGGATATCCTACTTTAGAGGCATCCGACAGATGGTTCGCGGGCCTTAAAAAGCAATTCAGAGTATTTGTACGCAGCTGATAATGATAACCCTAAAAGTTTTATTGATTAGTCTGTCAGAGGTGAAAGGTATGCATTCAACTTTGAAAATAAATCTACGGGAATTGGATTCAATATCAAATGTTAACGTAATGTGTCAGCGCAGTGCATTACACGTTTGTGTTTTGATTTAATAGACAGTTCGATTCTTTTCATAAGTTTCGAATTAATCAGGTATGGCGCAATTCGAAATTTCTTTCAAATGCTTGAATTTGGAATTGATCCAGTTTTACCCTATTTGTCGACTGTGCACGCGTATCTTTTGTACCAGTCCTGTTCTTCCATAACTGGTAATGACCACGATGCTGGATTAATTCACTTCGAGAGATAGTTAGCCCTGTCTGTCAAATAAATGTGGATCAGAGAAGTTACACATGGAGGGTGAAAAGCTCGCAAGTCAAGATCAAATTACCTGCAAATCACGTCTCTAGAGTCCAAACACGATAAGAAACCGAACAAAAAACATGGAATGTTTAATACCTTCGTTCCGTGAAAATCATCTACAATCGTTTCGTCACGTCTCGCCAGGGGGTACACCCATGGCGGGTTAGAATTAGCGAGGTCCGTAGGAACGGAGGCCACGGAGTTCGGCGTGATCGACTCGTTTTCACTTGCATCGCACATTATTCGTCGCGATCGAAACAAAGACAAAAAGAAGCGGTTGGCAGAGAAAGAACGGAAGAGGCGGGCCGCACCAATCGAAAA